AAAAACATACAACATTTGCTGCACGGATATCATACCGATTAAGAAGCAAATTATGTGCATGTTAAAGCCCAAGACAAAACTATAGTTTATGTACAACTAATATTAGGGAATCAATTAACTTGGTCAGTCATGGAATCAATTGGAGAAAAAAATAACAAGTGCTCAAAGAACTTTAACATGATGAATAAGAATTGAATTCCTGGTTGCCAAGGTAAAACAATGATCAACTGTAGCGATTTTAATGCCCAAGCAACCAAATATGAACATTTTCTAGACTAAAATAATGTGGATAGATAGACAGATGGATCATTAATCATTAATAGTCAATGTCAATACCCATTAACTGAGACAACTTCTAAATCTCTCTTCATATGAGTATTTTTACCAAACTCCTAAGAAGTCTTTTAGTGTCTTTGAACACATACTCATCTATGAGGACATTGCTTCCCAAAATTTGTGCCCTCATTGAGTGTGCTTGGATTCTGTGCTCACATTTTTTTGTCAGGAAAATGAACTACAGAAAGTCCCATATATTCCCCAGGCGACCCATACGACTCAAATGGAAGCGTATGGGGTGGGGAAGGCGTTAGTCACCAGTAATTATTCTCTGTCTGAGGAGTCTGCATTACACCAACACCACCACCAAGCCTGCGGTAGTTCATTGCACCACAGAGACGCCACTGGTTTTGATCAGGATCATAGACTTCGATGGTTTTTAGGTAGGCAGTTCCATCAAACCCTCCCACAGCATAAAGTTGTCCATTGACAACAGCCAAACCCACCTATAAAACATAAGTAAAGATGAAAAAAATGTTGATTGTAAAACAAATCTGCAGTTACAAAGTAGATCTACAGGCCTTACCCCACTTCGACGTGATGTCATAGCCACAATTGGGCTCCATGAATTACTATGAGGGTTATATCTCTCAGCACTGGAAAGCTCCATGCAATCATCACGTCCTCCAACTGCATAGATTAGATTATTAAACACAGCACATCCCAAATGCTTGCGTCTGGTTGACATGGGAGCAACAGGACACCACTTATTGGCTCTGGGATCGTAACGTTCCACAGTATTCAGAGGACACTGTCCATCTGAACCACCAATAGCATATAAGAATCCACCCAAGACAGCAACAGCAACACCTAGTCTCCTTGTTGTCATTGGAGCAACTTTGTACCACTTGTTTTCCTTGGGGTCATATCTGCAAAGCAAATAAATCAAATTAAGAAAAAACTTTATCTTTATTTACTCTAGCCCTTATACAAATTAAATTTAATTGAAAAGTTTTATAGGCCTCACAAACTAGATTACAAGTTTAATGATTCCCTTCGGATCTATATACAGGTCTTACCTTTCTACATGATTCAAACATTGAACACCATCTTGTCCACCAACTGCATAAAGGAAGCCATCCAGAACAGCAACTCCAACGCTAGTACGGCACGAAGTTGTAGGGGCAACATCGCAGGACCACTGGTTAGTTTGGGGATCATACCTAACAAAAAATAAGGGGGGTTAGAATAAAATCTAAAAATAGAATGGTCTGTCAAAACCATACGGTAGTTTGGGATCAAACACAAAGTTCAACAGTTATGTATGTAAGAATTATGTACCTTTCAATGCTATTTAAATAGGATTGGCCATCATGTCCTCCAACAGCATAAAGAAGATCATTTAATACAGCCACCCCAACTCCACAGCGGCGCTTGCTCATAGGTGCAACCATTTTCCAATCCATGGTTTGTGGATCAAACCGTTCTACAGATGCAATTGCATCGCCACTGCACCAACCTCCAACTGATGGGAGGCAATGAATAAGAATTATAACAAATACAAAAATTTACATTAAAAAAAGTTTACCAATTTTGGCTAAAGACTGAAAATTTAGAGAAGTTTACCTGCAAATAGAACTTCTCCCCTCCTCATCGGTTTTCTGGGCCTGGTGCGAGGTCCTTGCATCAGTGGTCTTTCTTGTGGGAGTAGGAGATAATTTTTTGCTTCATCTACCAAGTCTCTACATGCTTCATCACTGCGAACTAAGAGCTCTGATCCAACAGTTCCAACTAAGAATTTGGGACCAAGCAGGGGAAGACGGACGTGTTGAAGAGCCTGGAATATGACCAAGCGGCTTACATTCCCAGAACACACTGTGCCAACTTAAATAAACCAGAAAACAACAGGGCAAGAAATCACACTACAAACCTGAGCAAGGTGCTGCCTTCTCTCTGATACATTATACTTAACCCAATTCATGACTGCACTAAAAACGTGTTCTTCAGAGCGCACATTTAATTCATCACTCGAGATGATATCAACTAACTGCCCAACAGGTAAGAGAAGAAACTCTTCACTTTCCATTACCTAGATATTGATAAATTCATAAAGGGTCAGTCATGGTAACATTTTCAAAAGCAACAAACATCGGAAACTATGAGTAACCTCTTGGAAGTTGTGTTGAGTGAACTTGTCAGCTATGCGAAGCAGTTCTCGACAGGCATGAGTGTCAGCAAAAGCTCGAATGCCCAAACAGTTTGAGGGATCTAATTGGCGTTTCAGAAATTCACAGCAGATATCTTGAATCTCAGCAAGTTGCAGTAAACAGGCTATTACAGAGGAAAAGAGGAGTAAGAATCCAACAAAATACAAGACAGGAGATAAAACGTGGAAAACTACAAGAATTCTTCTTTTACCAGCAGGAAGAAGAGTTTGCACATTTCCTTCTTCCACAACAATGTTTGATGAATAGCAAAAGTCAATGAGCAATTCCATAGCCAACTCATCAATGTCTCTAATGGTGACTTCTGTTTGCCTCGATTCAGCTAACTCTCCCGTAAACATGGCTCTGAAGTATGGACTACATGCTGACAATATCACCCTTCAAAAAAACAACACAAAAGTTATGAAAGAAACAAATCAAATCAACAACTGACCTGAAAAAAAAAAAAGAAAACTTTAAAAGGTTTCTGTTACCGATGGGCGAAGATCTTACGACTTCCAACATTCAAGACAACATCACACAGCTCTCTATGCCGCCTCAAAACACTGAGTTCATTGAGTGTGCATCGAGCATGTTTGTCTGAAGTGTGAGCCAGACGAGCTGGTGATGGGGGACGATCCCCTAACTCTAAATCATTCATCCTTCTGTTGATAGCGCCCAACGAGTGCAAACGCAATCGAGGGGACGCTGGAAAACCCCACGCAGAGTCAATCTAAAAAAAAGCAGAGAAAGCTCAATATTGAAACAAAAGACCTTCATAGAATGGCAGAGTTTCCAAACATAGGGAAGAAAAAAAATAACAAAATAGAAACCTTAAGATAGCCCTAAAGATCTCAATCAGGATGACAGAAAAGCATCAATAGGCAAACCAACTAGCAGGGTAGAATACAAAATGGAAACACTAAGAATTACACAAACATCTGCTTTAAATGTGAACCGGGACGTGAGGCTTTCCAGATTTGATTAGGAAAACCGATAAGAAAAAGGGAGTAAACAACATTGTGATCTACAAGAAAACTTACTTTGCTATCGATGAAGTCGCTGGAAAATGTATCTATAACGCATGGGAAGGGCCTGCACGCGAAATAGTCGGACTCATCAGAGCGATCCGACATTTAACAAATGATTCTCACTTAAATTCTGCCAATTTTGGCAAGAGCCACTTGCATTATAACAACATCCTAACCCACAACACGCAGAAGCAGTAGCCATATAGACCTTGCATAAACAGCAGAGAAACAGGAAAATAAAGTTTCAGGACGGGAAACGTCAGGCAGCGATTGTCAGCTAAGTCTAATCTCCATTATGACAAATTCATAGATGCTGAAAGTCACTCGGTTAGCGCGGGTCATTCGAACCTACGAGAGTCCATATTTAAACTGGCTACTGGCTCAAAAACTATTCCTGAGCACATTTTAAGTCCCTACCTGTGGCTCCTAAACCCATCTGTACGCGCAGCATTTGCTAATCGTGAATACTTACGTCGTACCCTGCTAGAAACGCGGCCGCTGGCAAGAAAACAATCTATGCGACACAGCGGGGTGCGAGGGGAGGGCTCACTTTCAGCGTCTATGAAACCACAATTCCTTTTCCTTTTTAGAGAATACTTTATTACAATTATTAAAAATACAGAATTTCATCTTTCAATTACAGAAAATATACAGTGAGTTTTATCTTCTATTTTTATTGTCATTATTAGATTTAATAACTGTAGTAATGGTGTCATCTTTGTAGTCACCCCCTTCACTTTCTTCCTCTTCCACATCATCAAATTCATCACTGTCTCCCTCTGCCTCATCAGGTTCTGAATCTTCTTCCTCGGTTGCTTGTGAAACTGCTGGTGCTGGATTTGCTACTGTTTCAGATACAATCATTAAATCATCATCAGAGTCTTCATCAATTTTGACACTATTTTTCTTCATTGTGCTCTTCATTGGGCTACTATTTTCCTGAGATAGTTTTGGGGTGGCAAAGGGATTCACAATTAAATTTGTCTTTTTCTTCTTCAAAGGTGTACATGAAGTTTGTTTGGTTGCTAATTTTTTATTCTTGATTGATTTTGTTTTACCTCCATCTACCACCTGAAAATATAGGAAAAAGGATGAAATAGAGCACTAACAACATTGATTAAAGGCATCCATGATTATAATCTAGATACATACAACTTCCATAGAGTTAAAAATGTCATCAAACTGTTGAGCTTCTTCATGGTCACTCTGACCATCACTCAAGAGATCATCTGAGGCCCTTTTGTTGCCCTTTCTCTCTTTTTCAGACTTGGTTGGCTGCAGAGAGAAGTCTGATCTCATCAAAACACAGCTAGCACGGGAAACAATGTATTCCTGAAAAATGAAATTTAATCAGTTATATATATACTAACTAACATCAAGCCTGGCAGTAGATTAGAAGTATAGATAGCCTAAATGTACCTTAAGGAGGAGTTTCTTGGTGGTTAAATGATGAATACGTAAAAAGCGATCCAAGCCAACACTGACTATGTAGGGTTCAGTAGGATGACACACAATATCACGAACAGCCCCTGTGAATCCTTTATAATTTTGGGTTGTCCGACCCATGCGCATATCAACAGCTACAATATCCCCTTTGGTCAGACCACACAATACAGTGCTGAAAGTGGAAAATTCGTACATGTATATTTGGTAAGGAGAACTCTAGAGATACTTTTAAAATTTTAGAGAATACACACTGGTCTTGACTTGAGGCAGCAATACAATTTACAGCTTTTTCTGGCATATCAACTTTTATAACAGGTCTCCTCTGTGCTTTAGGATCATACAAGCGAACCTAAAATAAATAATATACATAGATATGCCAAAAAATTAAAATTTTCAGACCATACAGATAAATAAATATTAGAGGGCCAACTTACATAACCATATCTACTGCCCACAGCTACTTTATCAGATGAAGGCAGAAAAACGTGGTCTGTTACCCATACTTTAACTCGAAGTTGAAGAAAATCATTTGGAACCTGTAACGTCATGGAAATGTTGACAGTATTGTTATCGGAATAAAATATACAGTTCAGAATAGGAACTTACATTTTTAGCTTCAAATGATAATTTTCCAGTGTTAAGATCCCACAGCTTGAGTTCATTTTCTAAGCCTCCAGTTCCAATTGTACTGGGATTTGAAATTGAGTGTCGCATCTTTGAAATAGGCCCATTGGCAAATATATTTATGCAATCCTCTTCATTGTATCTTAAGACACGTACATGGCCTGATTCTGCAGCGGTCACCAAAACCCTGAAGTAGAATGTTGTAGACAGCTGTACTCTCTTAAATTGATTAACTTCTCATTTCAGTAGCAGCCAGAAAGGAACCTTACCCATCGAAGCGTGTTAGGCCACATATAGCTCCATTACTAACACCTACACCACTTTTGTCATAGAGTTTGGCGTCAGTGCTGAACGTAAATGCTTTGCCTTTTGTGTCATAAGTTTTAACAACTTGATTTGAGAGTCCAATAAGGATATCTTCTTCGTCACCATTACTCCATGCCAAAGCAGTCAAGTCAGATTCCTTGGACAAGTGTTTCAGGCTCTGAATACTTTTACTTATTAAAGGTTGCCCATCGGTTGCTTTAACACCTGAAAATATGATAAAATGATAAAGTTAAGATATCAACCCTTAACTTTGAAAGATGAGTACATAAACCTCCAGAATATAACTGTGTACGAGGAGCTTCAATAGCGTGCGAAATATGTGAAACACGTGTGTGTAAAATACGAGATTACGCTGATATCTTGATTAAAATGCTTAAACGTTAAGGAGTACTGATATAAAGACGAGATCTTAACCTCAGAAACACACGTGGATGATCGCTTGCTAGCAGTACAATTGTATTGAGGGACAGTAGAAGCCGTTGACAAAGAAACAAACTGGAGCCTTTTCTAAAAAGAACAAAAACCTTCTGGCTTGACGAAATACCTTTGAAAATGCCATATTTAGCACCAATAAAAAGGTTGAAATCGTCTTTGAACGACATGACGGGTTGTTGGGGTTAAGATGTCGTGTGTTGTTGTAGTTGTTGTTATGTTCGCGTTCGATGTAAGTATGAAAAATTTGAGGTGGGGATGGGGATAATAGATGACAAGTGAACGGCACTCCCGCTAAGTTTAAACGACAATCTGTGAATTTTGAATCGAAACGTTTAATTCTTAATACTGTTACGTTATTGCTTTTACTTTCAATTTAGAACCAGAAACAGAAACTAAAATCAATTTAGAACCAGAACCAGAAACTAAAAAAAATCATGGCATATAGAATGCAGCTGAAGAAGTTTGAAATTTGGCTGTAGATGGTGAGAGGTGTGTGTTCAGAAAAAACAGATATGGAAAGTAGAACATTGCATTATGTTGAATTCATTCATTCATTTTATCTACAGTCTAGCAGTAATTTACAACACCACAGTCAACGTTTGTCCCTCGAGTTCAATATTTACAAACACTTAAAATACTAAAATGAGACACTAGCAAGGACACCAACAGTAGGTATCATAATTGCATCATTAATTTAGATCTCTTTGAGGAAGTATTTGTCACTAGACGAATTATCATGATTTGAAATGGTCATTGAAAAATATTTAAATAGTTTGAGTAATATTTCTTAAATTGATGGGAGTTATTAAATTACATAATATTTAAACTGTACAATACAAATTAACACAACAAACCATAGGTAGATCTAAAATTTAACTCATACAAATACAACAATATTTGACTGAACATATTTGGCGGAGAGCAGCATTTTGCTAAGTAACACATTTTTTTGTGTTTTACTTTGACTATTAGAAATGCTGCAGACCAAACTAGATTATTTTTAAAATCCAGCATCAAGAAGACTTTCTTTTTGTCTGGATATAGGTGGAACTTAAGCTCCAGAATCATAAGCATTCTTGCTTACCATAGATATCACACATTATTACACAAGAGGACTTTTCAGCACAAGCGCGAGGTTTAATCAGCCACCTTGCCACCTAGATCAAGAAATCTACACTCCTTAAGATGTACAAAAGAAAATTCACAGAAATGTACAAAGTTCATGAAACATGTCACCTAGATAATATTGAAAGATAAGGCAGGGACCCACAGCAATTGGCACTCATGGTCATGCAAATCCTAGATACAAATAAAATAGATAGAAAGTGGACATTCCCCTAATAGGTATTTTAAAGTATGACACTGATAAAGAGTAAACCAAGAATGAACAAAGGGAACTTTATGGACAACTTCTCTCATGGTACATGCTAATGGTAGGAGGAAAGACTAAAGCAGTAAAAGATTTAATGAAAACAGTAAGTCACAAACATAAATAATATGTTTTAAGTCAACACACTGGGGTGAATGAAAAAAAAGAAGATAATGTATTCAAAACATGCACATTTACAGTTCCCCTCACAAAAAGAGGGAGACACTCTGATAGATTTATAGTTAGAGAGAAAGAGATTACAATCAATCTCTATTTGTAGTACAGGTTGTATTCTCCGACATAATACTGTTTCCTTAAATCAAATTAAACATACCTTAAGAGTACATTCAAAAATGAAAAAAAGTAACATACTAGAGAATGGTAATTTCCCATCTATTAGCAATGAACTGGGAAAGAGCAATAAGGTATATAAAATCAACTGCTCTAGAAAAGACCCAGGTCTAGGTTGTTCCTAGAATCAAGATTGACCATTTTACCAGGGTGAATTTAATGACAAATGGAGAACACAAGATGGTGCTGAAGTTACAGAATGATCATGGGTGTAGGTATCCTTAATAGGTAGTAAGGTATCATTGGGTATAACTTTTAGAAAATCTGAGTTTCATCAAGCATGTAGAGAAAACTTTAAAAAATATTAACACATGATCAACCAATCATTTTAGCAAAATATTAACACAAAAATGGCCTTCACCTATAACAAAATAAATATGCAAAAGGAACTTAAATGTAATTGTTTGTAAAATTCCTTACTTTATACTGCAAGCATCACAGATTAACAGGCAGTCAGACGAATAAGAGATAAACAAACCACAAAATCTATCTGCAGCTGTGTGCGTTGCAATCTTGAGATGTACTCATAAGAGTAATTGATTAAAAGAAACAAAAAAAAAATATATATTAGAAAACTCCAAAATACAGTTCCCAGATAGTCAGATTTTGTAAGATAAAACTGTAGAATGTAAAACAAATTTCAATCAAAACAGCACACATTGACAATATTCAACTTATGTGAAGGAGGAACAGACAATATGGAGGAAAAAAATAAGATAAGAAAAGCCATCAATACAACAGGTACTGTGATGACAATGGACAACAAGGTAACTGTTGCACAGAGACGTGCATGGCAGTCAAAAGGGCTACAACACCCAAAATCATGAAGGCTGAAGATTTCAGTCCAATTACCCAAGCCAAATACAAATAAGTATCTTCCTATGGCATTTTATGAGAATTCAGGTACAACTTACAGCAGAAGATTTCTTCTTAAGAACAATATCTTCAATATTCAAATGAACTTTTTCTTTTCGTTTTGGAGGAACTGATTGAAGGCAGAACCTTTTAAAAGCTTCAAGTTCTCTCTCATCGTCGTCAATGTCTCCATCATCCAAATCAATGTCTTTAGGAGCAAATACATTATCTGGAAAATAGTAATTATGATATGGTGAGCAAAGGTCATGTGGGCAGTGTGATCTATATCAAAAGAGGTGTACGAGTCTACTGAAATTAGGAGGTCCTTACAAAAGTTAATTGTGAGGATTTTTCAACACTCAAAGTTATTGGGGCATAACTACAAATATTACAAGGTTAACTTTTATGTATTTTATTATTGTAATTTGTAAAGGAATGACATTATCAAAACCTACTTCATAAAAATTTATTCAATGTCTGCTAAGATTCATGGAATAGGATGGGGCATTATTGACAATTGTGCAACAACATGACCTAAACAAAAAACAGGTGGCAAAGAACGTCATCAATATTACTTACCTAAAAGTTGCCAGTCGTCGTTGTTTTTCAATTTGCTCTTTTTCCCTTCAATGGCTGCAGCATAATTCTGTGGGATAACATGCTTGGCAGGTGCTGTCATCTGCTGAGGTGATGGGTTGAATAGGTGCCCAGGATGCTCAAAGTGATGACCCGGCGACTCGTAGTGCCGTGGAGTGTGCGCGTGCGTCTCCATGTGGCGTCCTGAGTCAAAATGCTGACGAGATGCAGTATCATAATGATGTACAGTTGCCGCTTCAAAGTGGCGGTGCGAAGATCCCTCAAAGTGAGACGGTTGTGGTGCTTCAAAAGGCCGACCCTCGAAGTGACGAGGTGGCGGATCATAGTGCAGTCTAGGAGGCTTGGAAACCTCAAATGTTTGAGGGGTATGGACTGGATGGTTTGGTTTAGAGACATGAGCAGAGTGAGTGATATGTGAAGTGGCAGGAGGGTTAAAGTGCTGAGCACGGTGGCTGGCAGAGCTCAACTCGGGCACATAACCATTCATTCCATTAGCCTGAAAGCAGAGAAAGGAACCTTGCATGATGAGCACATTCTCAATGGTCAGGACAATACAGAAATAGTAAACAAATAAATATTTTGGATGAAGTATTACCTGCTGGGCAATCTTAGCATTTGCAAATCTAGGAGGTAGAGTGTTGTTCTCTTTGTTGCGGTTCTGGTGCAGAGGAGGACCACTGCTCGGAGCAGGTTTGCGACCTGCTGGTTCATCAGGGCCAATATACCTGTAAGATAAAGAAGACACATAGGAAAATTTTCAAAATAATTGTGGACACAAAATCATATTATGAGCAATCCAAGCTGGTGCATACCTTTGTGGAGTTGGATGAATGGCGGGATTACGGATAGTAACCATATTCCCATTCATCTTGATGATTGCTGCCTGAGGTGGGGGTGCAGGAGTAGCCATAAGAGGAGGTGGCTGCCCAGCTGGAGTAATGCTCACAGAATTCATTCCATACATAAATGGTGAGAGCTGTGAAGGCTGTTGAACTCTTGCAGCAGATTCTGAGGCCTGAGCCTGGGCCTGGGCCTGAGCCTGAGCCTGGGCCTTTCTATTCTTGTTATTTTTCTTTTTTCTTGTTACAACTTGTTCAGGTTCCTCTTCACGTCTGGCAATATCTTGTTTAAGTTTGCCAGTGTCTACAACTATTACATTGGAATTGGGGTCTTGGCCACCACCAGAATTGTAGTTTCCTGGAGGTCTGCTCCCAGAAAGAGGAGCAGCAATTATTGTAGTTGGGGGAGGATTAGGTACAACAGTTTTGGTAACTTGAGGTTTGGACACAGGAGGCTTTCTCTGGGCAACTTGACTTGGGTCGACTTTGGTAATAGTTATTCCAGGGGGCAGTTTCAAATTCTCTAAACTGAAGTCCTGTGCAGGTTCAGGCGAGGGCTGTCTTGGTGGTGGCAAAATAGGCTTTCCATTTAAAGTGAGTGTGGTGGAAAAGCGTTGTTCCAGACCACCAAGAGACGACTGTGATGCACCTGCTGTGGCAGGCTGTATTGTTACACTAGGCCGAGAAGCAGCTAGGGCTTGAGTCGTCCACTCTAGGCTGCCAACGGGTGGCATGTAAGAACCAAGGGTAAGAGGATTTGGAATAATACTTGTTGTTATTCTTCCTCCTCGCTTTGAAGTTGCAGTTTGTTGCTGCTTCAAAGAAGGTTGCTTCAGTTTTTGCTTTAGATTTTGCTGCTGCTGTTGCTGCTGTTGAGTAAGAAGCTGTGGTTTTTGTTGTGTCTGTTTTTGCTGTTTCTTCTCCACCTCTTTCAACTTTTGCTGTTGTTTATCTTGCTGTTTCTGTTGCTGCTGTTTTAATTTTTGATTTTCTTTCTGCTTCTTTTTCTGTTCTTTCAGTTCAAGCTGTCTCTGTTTCTCTCTCTCTTCCTCCTCCTTTTGCCTCTGCCGTCTTTGTTCCTCCTCCAGTAATTGCTGTACTTTGCGGGCCTTTTTCCTTTCTTTCTTTGTCATTTGGACTGGAACCATAAACTCCTCATCTGAGTCTGGTGCAGAATTTACTTTGCTTCCTTTACCATTTGACTTGTTGTTCTGTTCAGAGCCTGTTTGACTTTTATTGTTTGTCTTCTGATTCTTTTTTGAGTTAGTTTGAGGTATAGGCTGAGGTTGTATTTTCTGTGACTTTTCCTTCTTTGAATTTTTTTTGTTACCTTTTAGTAGTTGTTGTTGAAGCCTCTCTTGCTCTTCTCTCCTACGCCTCTCTTCTTCTTGCCGCAGTCTTTCTTCCTCTTCACGGCGGCGCTCCTCTTCAGCCAGCCTCTCCTCTTCTTGTTTGCGCTGAAGCCTGCGTAACTTTTTCCGCTGTGTTTTAGTGAGCTGTGACATGTCTATTTCCTCTTCATCCTCATCTGCAACAAATTCAGGCTCATCGTCTTCCTCTTCAACTCCTTCTTCAACTTGGATTTGCTGTTGTTGCTGCTGTCGCAGGAGCCTTCTTTCAAGCTTCCTTTGTTTTTTGGTCTTTGGTTCCGAGCTTACTTGATCATGACAAACTGTAAAATGAAAATGAAATCTCAATGCAATTTGTGCCGCAACAATAAATCTCTAAGAGAGTGATATTAAAGAAATATTTGTATATGATTACTGATAACTGATTAACTTACCCACTTCATTTTGACCATTTACTAGGGTAAATAATACTTTATCTTTATCTGGAGTTGCCCCTTTCAGAGTAATGGTAACAGTGGGTTCACTACTATTGGGCTCCATAACACGACGAATTGTGACCATCTGAGGCTGATCTGAGGTTCCCATCTTTTTGGCAACTTCCCCAACTTGACTTTTAATACGATCACGAATGCTTTGAGCAGTGGCACTTGGTATGGTCGAAATAACCTCTTCTGTTTCTAAAAAAGAAGACATTGATAAAATTGAAAGGTTGAACTGGAGGGTAGATGACATATCAAATGCACAATAGTAAATCTTTAAAAACTTACGTTTACTGGATCCCTTCTTCCCCTTTCCTTTTGCATCCGAATCTTTGAGCATTGTGATGGTGACATCTGGAGTTTGAGCAATTTCTTCTTCTCTTTGTTGTTCAAGCTGCAAATAAGATTGATTCAATCAGTTCAATGTGTTTAAAATATTAAAAAAGCGTTATGTTGGATATAAAAATCTGATCACTTACTTTCTTTTGTTTTTGTCTAGCCTTTTTAGCAGCTTTCTTGGAGTCTGCTTTTTGCTGAGAGCCTGAACCACCTTCAATAAAATCTAATAGTTCATCTATTGGTCTAGGGTCTTCCTTCTTTGGAGGCTCTTCCTTGGGGGGTGCTGCAACTGGTGCTGAAGCTGGTGCTGAAGCTGGTGTTGCATTAACAACCTTCTTCTGAGCCACAGGTACAGTCTGTGTGGCCTGGGTAGTACCCCGGGTAGGTGCTTGGTTCCCTAAAACATAAAAGAAGTTAATGTATACACTCCATTAATACATAATAAAATATATTGTGATTAATTTTCCCTTTATTTCTAACCTTTTCCTGCACTTGCAGGAGCTGCTGTTAATCTTTGGTTGCTTGAGGTAACTGAGGATTTGGCACTGCTAACAGGCTGTATCTTAGCCTTATTCATCCCTGCTTCAGCTAATTTTGCTGCAGCAACATGAGATGGTCGTACAGTTTGAGTTTGGGTCACACTGTGGACGCCGGTTGTAACAGCTGTCTTCCCTACAGTCGAGGTAAAGGCAGAACCTGTCTGGGAGGATCCACCTGCAGGAAAGTATAAGGTACATTTACGTTGTGGCAACAAGAAAAGCACATCTGGTAAAGAGAGAAGGGCACATCTTTCTCATGGTGCTGTGTCGCGCGGGAGTCGATACACGTTTCCTCTTTCGGAAATAACCCAAGGAGTTGATTATTGAATCCACTTACTCGTCGCGTTGAATGCCATCGCCCTGGCCGCGGCCGCGCCCGACGAGATCACGCCTGCGGGTGCGCTTGTGGGTGCGCCGGGTGCACACACTCGCGTTGTATGAACGGCGCTCGGTGTAGAGCTGAGCGTGGCGCCGCTCGGGACGGCAGTCTTCACCACCAGCGACGCCCCTGGGCCCGCAGAAGGGGCCGGGGCGCCAACGCCAGACGGCCTGGCAGTACCCGCCGTCCCAACCGAAACCTTGGGAAGGGATGACTTGGCGGCCGCTGAAGACGCTGGGGCGGTGGCAGGTCGGGGCACAGCCGCTGTCTGGGTCCTCTGGCCTGCAGCTGCAGCTGCTGACTTAGCAGCCGCCCCCGCCGCAGACACCCTGCCTCCGGCTACCTGCTGCTTGCTGGCTCGGCTCTTGTTCAGTTTGGAACGCAGCCGTTGGCGGTTTTCATGGAAGCGGTGGCTGGTCGGGGCCGCAGGAGGCTGGAGGATGACATAAAGAAGATGTAAAGAGAATTCAAAGCCACTCCAAAAATTACGGTTCATAGGCACAGTTCTACTTACCGCCCCATGACCAAACATCTCACAGAAACAACAATCACAATTTTTAGGGTCCCTATGGCTAGGGGAATGGGTGTGTTGTTTGTGTTTGGCAGATGAACATGTATGGCCTAGCTTTGGCTTAGCTTGTGCGGAGGCTGGTGCAGGCGGTGCCGCTGCTGCACCAGTTATGGAGGCTGGTGGAGGATTCACCACGGCACGGGGTGACTCACGAGCTGCTGATGCAGCTGCGCGAGCCATTTCTGCTTTCTTACGTTCTAAAGCTTCTTCCAGTAAACCTGTTAAAGTTGAACTATTGTAATAAAATTCACAATTTCAAATGGTGTAACTAAAGTGCCATAAATGCATTTTAACAAACCTTGGATAGTTGGTCCGCTGGGTGCATTTTTATTGGCGGGTGGTGTTGTGGGTGGAGTGCAAGGCACAGATGATGCTGTTAAAAAAAAATTAAATGCATTACAGCTCAGATTTCTATCTTTCATACTTCCAAGCAGCTGTAGAAATACATTCATCACTTACACAGTCTCTTTTCTTTTGGGGGCATTGGTTTTCCTTGAAGGGAGGGAATGTGTGATGGAGGAGCTGCCCCAGCTTTTGTCAACACAAATATTGGCTCCTGCCCATTAGCAGTAAGAGCTCCAATTTTAGTTGATGATGAAACAGGACTAAAGGGGGCTTTGTTACCTGTCCTAGACATGATATTTTTTACTGGTTCATTTAATTTTGGAGCTGCTCCTATTTTCACCTGCAAGCAAATTTTTTAAATATAAGTTGCTGAATTAAAAGTAACAATCAATAGAACCCTGGCTTAAAAATTCTCAATTTAACTTTAGCATATGGAAAACACACATCTAGGTAACCATAATTAAAGGCAAAGTTAGAATAGAATATCAACCTCTCCAGAAAATTCCGATGGGGGAATCACAAAATCTGCTGGTGGATCGGGGAAATCGTCTGTATCAGGAACATTCACACCTGGTCCAGCAGTAAAACGTGCTCGAGGCTGAGGTTGTGGCTGTACCAGAAGTTGACGTTCACACCCAAGAGGGGTGAAGGGTTTTACATTGTTCCCAGCAAATTCTAATTTGGTAACTCCATTAATATTTAAGAGATCTGATGAAATCAATTTGTTGGAAGTATTTTCTTTAATACACTTAATATTTGCTTGATCTTTATTGTCAGTATAACTATGGCATTGGTTAGGGGTAGTTGAGGGAGGTTGACTATGCCCAAAATGTGGATGCGGAGCATCTCCACTAAAATGATGGGGGTAAACACCTGGTCCATCTCCATCTGAAAAATGAAATATTTGTGAGTTAAATTCCAATGCTGATACGTTGGAATAAAAATAATAGTAGCACTGTGGGTTTAACTGATACTACAGAACATCTTTACATGAGATAGTGAGAGCTTTGACACATGACTTAAATACTTTTGGGGTGATAGAGCATTTTTGAAAGTTCCACATATTAATAAAAGCTTGGACCGATCCCACATTTGTGTCTGTAAACCTTGCATGTAATATAGGTGCAACACATACTAATTAACTTAAATTGAGTAAACTGGGACTTACGGCCTCCTTGCTGGTCTGAAAGTTCAGGAGCCGGACAATGATTTGGTGCAGTCTCTGTTTCTTCCCTACAGTAGCATCCAAAAGGGCAAGGTTTAGGACCAGTTCGAAGTGGTGGAGGATGGAGTTCTGCTGGAACATAGTATGACGGGCCATAGGTTGATCTTAATATCCCATAACCATGTCTATCTTCACTACCAATGATTGCTGGTTCATCACCAGCTCCATCAGACGCCATTCTTTCAAGTGTTGGACTAGAAGAAAAATGAAGAAGATTATGAGCATTTATATTAAACAACTCAGTAAACTTGGCTCAAATTATCTGTATCACATCTCTACCTCAGCTCCGCTAAACGAGCTTGATGAGCACGGCAAGAAAATAGGTGAGATAGGCAGCATTCATCACAAGGACATGGTTGAATAATGTTGCATGAGGGGCAAACTACAACTTCTATGTACTCTTCTGAGTCGGAGCCAGTTTCAACAACAGCCAATGCAGCAGGACCGTGGCGGTTAATTAGCTCAATTCTGAAAAATAAAATGAGGGTATTTAACTTGAAAGACTCCTAAAAACAAGAAAATAATTAATAAGAAACCACTCACCCCTCAACTGAGGCTTTTTGAACACGTTGCCTCTGAGCTTTAAACACCTCCCAGTCCCTCAATAACATTTGCTGTTTAGCTCTAATTTTAGCCTGGTTTGTGCTAAAATTAAAAATTGAATAAGATTAGAAGAGAGGTAAATGCGGTATGACTAGTCAAGATAGTTTAGAAATTATTGTACTTACTTGTACTTCTGTAATAACTCAAAGGACTCTCTCCACATTGCTTGAATAATGCTCATTTCATCATCAAAAGCCATGTAAAACCGAATCATACCTTGAAACTCTTGGCCCTACAAAGAAACGCCCCCCCCAAAAAAAAGGAAAAAAAGAGGATAAGAATTTGTTCCAATAATATTACTAAGGGACAATACAATAACAGCCTTAGAAATATACCTTATCTGACCATACCTTATCCGTAACCAAGGCAATCATTTCAGGCAATTTTTGAGAAATAACTGCATCATTATAGACAACTTGGAAATAAATGGCCTTATTCAATAACTCCCATGTCAAATTAAACCGAGATAGATGTTTAGATTCTAAGTCCTCAAGTATAGGTGCAACTCTTTTAGCAGCAGCAGACACTTTGTCATAACAATAAAACAGTCCTAGAGGTTGAGGAAAAGGTTTGCATTGTGAACCAAAGGTTTTAAAGAAATAACAAAAGTAGAGCAGTAAAATTTACCTTCAAAGAAGTCTGTCGCCACTAATGAGTCTTGGTGGTGGTCTTCTGATATATCCTTGAGCCTTACTTTGACTGCCGTAGCAACTTCATGTACTTGTGCCTGCAGCCTATGGTAAAGCTGATGGGGATCAGATTGGGTCAACCTTGAGAAGAAAATCAAATCATGTAAGTTGAGTTCCCTAAAAGCATTTAAGTTAGATTGATTGATGACTACTTTATCACAAACCTCCTTGCTATGGCAATCATGTGTTCATCTTGGGAAGCATCAACAATTGGCATGCAGTCATCAGGGGCAGTTTGCATTATTATGCGATAGACCTCTCTGACAAAATGACGCAACTCCATCCAGGCAGCCTGAAGCTTCCGTTGCTCACCTAAAGTAATCCTGAAGAAAGGTCAAAGTTAACATCATTAAAGCCACAAAATTATTGAAAAGCACATGCCTAATCACTCACCTCTTTGACTCGCACGATTCACAAGTGCAAGACTCTTTTTGACGCTGCAAAGCTTCCTTCCGCATCAGTTCCTTAATATCTTCCTCATTTAATGATGTATGATCCTCTTCATTAGGCACACCTTCATCACCTTTCACAGGACTCGAAGTTGTTTCTTCTCCTTGATAACCATCCAAAGGTATACTTTCTGAAACTGTCCCATCATCTTGTGGTATTGTTTCATCCTGTATCCGGGCATTATAAACAGTCTCTGATGTGACTCTCTGAATTATCTTGTTATCATTACCATCACAAATTTCCAGTCTGCTATTGTCTAGCTTAAGGTTGGTCATAGCCTCAGATAACATAATTGTTTGATCAACGTGAGTTGAATTGTTAGACCTAGGCACTGCACATTCCTTAGCTTTAATCAGTTTTCTTCTTCTCATACTATCACAGATTCTTCCTCCACTCTTATTCTTTGTTCTCAGTGCAGAGTCATCTGAACTATCAGAATAAGAAAAAACACAATCACTATTAATTTTTATCTCTTCGCTTCGTTTAGTTTGCATTTCATCAACGCCAAGAGACTCAGACTTTTTAGGTGATTGAACTTCATTGTCTCCAAAATCATCCTCATCATCGGCATCCATGCCACCTTCTTCATCTTCATCATCATCGTCTTCATCATCTTCATCTTCATCATCATAATCTTCATATTCATCATCGTCGTCATCATCTTCAAAACCATCTTCATCATCTGCATCAGCTACACCTTCCATATCTGACTCTGACTCTTCAACATCATAAACTCCAGCATCATCACTGTTACTTCTCAGATCCTTAGTCTTCTGGTTGAGATCTGTTTCTTCAGTAACAATTTTAACAGGCAAAACAGATGGTTCCTTAGAATTTTGAATTGAATTTTCACAAGGTACATCACAGGATAGTGTCAATGGTGTTTCAGTTATTATCTCTGCGTCTGGCGTACATGCATGTTGGTCCTCTTTGGCTTGGTTTCTTTCATTTTCATCTACTTCATGGTCGGGTATTGTGATATCTCTAGTAATCAAATCCTAGAAATGAAAATAAAACGGGTAAGTGGGGGATAATTTTGTAAAAATATTCGCAAATGTTTCAACAGCAACAAAAGAAAAGTGACCAATTTGGAAAAGATTAAATAGCAGTAACACTTCAATTTTTCCAGTGGTAGCAAAGTTGAGGATTAAAAGAGAAAACTAAGGAACATAGTTATGCTACAGAATTTAAAGGAAATGAAAGGATGACAGTTCATGGGTTTGAGAGAAAAAGGGTTCTGTTGGCTTAAAGCCAGCTGACACAAGGAGAAAACTCTGAAACAATGTGTCAAGCGTAGAAACCTGAAGTATACTGTCAGTTTTAAGCATAAAAACAAACAAATGCAGACTGATACCAGGGGAAGGGAGTTTCTGTGGAGGAAACAACATTGTTTTTCTAACCTGCTTCTCGGCCCCGGGGTCTAAATTAGGTACTAGAGCGGTAATGTTTTCATCTGTCGGTGATTCATCATCCGCTTCTGCTCCCTCTGCCTCAGCACGCTCCGTATTTTCTTCATTATGGTCAGAAAGTTGGTCCTCTCTCCCTTCTTTCCCAAGAACATCACCCATGGTTGGTTCACAGTCGGTCTTTCCAGACAATAGGGACCGCGCACAACTCATTATCCTACATATATACCGTTCCAAGTTTTCCCTACCCTCGGTGATAAAGCTTTAAAACAATCACATGGAATTCTTTTTAAATTTCTACAAGATCGTAATGTGTTGAGGCGAGTCGCTTGGCCAACATCGGACACCAACACCAATATGGCCGACGTTTTCATCCGGGGATACGTTTCGGCCTTTCGACCAAGGCGGTGCGACCTTTAAACGTCTCCTAGTTCTTAGGGCTTATGCAATAAGTGGAAAAGATAGAAGGGACGTAGTTTGACTGCCCAGAAAGTTTCGAACGACTTTGCTTCAGTTCAATGTGGAATCTCTTTCGACTGACAAAAATCTAAATGCGAAAATGCACACACCTTTACTCACGGAGCTGCCAACTGTGAAGACACTACGGCAAAATGGTCGCTCGCATCGCCGAAACTTCCAAGAACAGTGGAACTTTGTGCTGACATCCATTTTCTCTCACAGCTTTCTCTACTTTACGACCCTTCACCCACCTGCATCCATTCATTATAACATCCAACTACATTCGCAGTTTGATTTTAAAAATCATAGACATTTGGATGGTGGCAGCGGCACTTGCCGTAAATTTTAAACGGCTTCGGTTCAGTTGATCCAAGGTTGATCGAGAAATCCTTGAGAGAAATCAAATAGATGTTGACCCACAAGTGCACCTCGACTCGCGTATAAGCCAAGCAAATGGAAAGGGCTTTAGGATATCGGAGACGAGAAATAGAGTGCGAGCTACTGCAGCTCGAGGCCGACGTTTGGAAGGATCTGAACATGGAGCAACAGATCCTTGTGGAGGCAGAGGAACACAAACTGGTTAGCAGAACTATTGGTGTAGACATCATACTTTACTTACGCAAATGCAGGTAAGTCTAAGATGAATTATCTAGCTGTGATGGCACTTTGGCTCCGGTTTTCAGGAGCAGCTCACTGAGGCCGTCATAAAGGCGCGTTCGGCGTTCCATCAGAAAGTGTTCGAATCTGTTAACCGAGTGGAGTCGCCGCGACCCTCACTCCGGACTGAGACAAAGAGCACGGCGGGCAAGTCTCAGCAGACTGAACGAATGACTATCGAAGGCGAGATAATAAGCGGAGGTCAGCCCCCCGAAACAATCATGTTGAAGAATGCTCATCTGGTCACTTTTATCCTTCTTTTTCGTGGTTTGCAGAGGAATTGGATGCGCTGAGGAAGGAAGTGACTCTTCTTGAGGAAGCAGCCCGTTTGCTGGACCAACACAAACGCCTGGCAGACGAACCCCTTGAGGGAGATGCTTTCAAACGGTATTGAGTCAGCCAGTTATGGTCTTAAAAGTCGCCGACGTGGCCTGTGGCCTGGTTCTCTCATACCTCGTACCACGGTGCCCCCTCCTTCATATATCCTTTCCTGATTCCTGATGTACGCATGTTTTTTCAGGCTGCAAGCAGCTCTTAGCGTCGAGGAAGACCGCAGTGTGGAGCTGCAGAGGCAGATAAGTGAGCTAGAGGATGCGGTGCAGGAAGCGCAGAGGGAGCGGGACCAAAGATCACGAGTGGGTGGGTACCTCGAAAATGGCGCTCCTATGAGTTACCGCATTCTAGTGTCGGTGTTAGGTTGACTGATTCTTGTTTAACCTGAAATCAAAACTTGTGACTGGATAGAAGGCGACATGCCTTTGCCATTCAGCTGGATTGAAGACCCGTGGGACCAAGAGCCCGAGGAGGCTGCCAGTGCTGTGGCCAGGAAGGAGGTACAGCAGGTACGTATATCTAGGCCCAGCGCGTACTGCTACATATGATCAGATCCCCACACTCACACTTCCAAAATTTTCCAGCCGAATGACGACCCGGACAGATCGCACTCTGCGACGCACTCACAGAAGGGCGGGACACGCCTCGTGCCGCTCAGCGGCACCCTACACGCTCCTGTGGGTGCTCAAGGTCCCCGTCGAGATTGCAAGGTACCTCCTAGAGCACCTGCCCAAGCAGCGCCCCAGGCCCGGTCGCAGGGCGCCATTGCGTCAGGGTTGGGAGCGCGTTCCACCGAGGCCGGGGAAGAAGAGACCAGGGCGAACCAAGGTCCAGACGCACATTCAACTCCTGCGCAGGTGCGATTCGTACCAAAGAAGGCTTTTTTGTTCAAAAAGCAGTAATGCTCGAATAAACTCAATGTAACACAGTAATGAAATGAGACAGGAATCGCTTAAATTATATTTATTTTGGACAACTGATGTGATAACATTTAAACAGAGCGAATCAGTTTTAAAGGTAATTTCCAAATCGTAGCACCTGATCATCATGGAACGGCGCGGAACACCTGCACGCCGAGGGGGTGGCACATGTCCTCGGGGACGACTTGTCCCACCGGGGTGGACACATCACCTGCGAGCCGAAGAAAGCCTAGGTGATCTGCTGAAGCATCATGGCAAGCATTTCCCGATCCAAACTCACCCTGGGGACAGGTGCTGAGCCCTACCAACAGCGGCATGTCGGCGATGAACTCGATGTAGTCCCCCTTGCGCGCCGGACTGGGCTTGCAGAAGTACTGGTGGGTGTCCTGCGCTCGGAGGGTACGGTATGAGACGGCGGTCGACAGGACAGACAGATGAGAGTGCATCCGCTGACACATACCTTTGTAAAGCCAGTGCACATAAAGATGTTCCAAACGTCGTGCACGTCCGTCTCGTCCAGCCCCGCCTCCTCCGCCGCCTTGGTCAGGTACGAGTGGCAGGACCCCCACCTGTCCTCGCCCGTGATGAGCTTGTAGGTGTAGTCGTCACACCGAGTGCCTGGGACACGATTCGTTGTAAGAAACTGTGGGCCGCCCACCACACCACGGCCAGGGTCACGGTGGCTCACCGATGACGTCGTGCACGCTGGCGCCGTCCTCGTCGATGCCGTACTTGATGGAGTCGGCCACGACGGTGGCCATAGGCCGCAGGTAGGGCAGCACGCTCCACAGCCGGTCGTACACCGAGAGGTGCGCCGAGTGCAGCTGCCGCGTCTTGCCCGAGTAAAAGCGCTCCGCGGGGTTGTCCAGGTTCCAGAAGTTCATGTCGCCGACCTGTCGGAAGAGGAGACTCTTCCAATCCGCCCATTCAAACGACGCGGAGTTTGAACCCACCCTGTCAGGTTTGCCTGCTCCCTACCTGCGACCCTTCGACGACAGTGATCCGGCATAGGTCGCCTGGCTGCATGGTCCAGGTCTTGGCCGACCGCTTGGGCACCGCAAAGTCCTGGACAGCATCCCCGGTCAGCGCCGCGTGCCTCTTCCGGTCGTACTCGGCCCGGTCGACCTGCGCGGCGGCCGGCTTGTCGTAGCAGACGATCGGCGGGTGACTCTCGAAGGACCTCTTCTTGTCCCCGCGCCCGCACCAGCCCGTTCCGGGAGAGACCACTCGGCTCATGTCGGGGGTCTAGAGGATGAGACGAGGTCTGAGTGCTGGGGCGCCGCAGCTCTTACTGATAGACTGACACGGCGCTTGCTTCGCGACTCGCGTAACCGAGACAGCGAGATAAAGCGAGTCAGGGCCAGATCTGGTCTGCACATGCCCAGAAACTGGTTCTGGCATCCCCAGATATGAGCGTTGTGCAACCGCTACATGAGGCAGTCGGAAACAGAAGCCCACAATCTGGTCTAGTCAGAGCGAATAATGAAAAGCTTTGCGCAAGAAGCTTCTCTAGTCATCTTGGTCGCGCTAAAACAAGCGACTGGGTACCAGTTGGCTGACTCACACCGCACACTTTCGTAGTCATACTGTACCGCATGCACGCATGTAACAGGAAGCGTTACTTGCGCCGGATCTGGCTTGATCACTTCCGGTACGACTGTGCTCAGAGGGCAGGGGAAGGGCTTACTTGTTCTCCGCTGGGGCCGCGGCTGCGTGCAAGGGATGTGTAGAGGGGCCAAGCGGGCCGAACTGTTCACTTCACTCCTGGTTCACTCCCACTAGAGCCCCTCAATCGCCTGCTCCAGCCCAAGGTGAGCGGGGCGGGGCCAACGTGCGCCAGACGGACTACTACAAGGCGCGGCTAGGCGCGGCGAGGCGGGAGAGAGCGGCACCTCAGACAGCGCAGCAGCACGAAGTGCTGCCTAGCAGGCGCGGCGCTTGAGCGCCTCTCACTATCTTGTATGTAGTTAAATGTTGTGTCGCACGAAGGCAAGCTGTGTGTGTACCAACTAGCACCTACCCATATGGCGCTTTACGGCAACGAGCGAGTAGGTTACTAATAACGAATCCACTAGCCTCGGTACAATATTTCGCCTAACGGAGGAAGAAGAATAGTGGGTAGAAACGCCGAGAGCTTCCCGCCTCTACGTCACGCCGGCAGTGGGGGTACAGGCTCGACCAATGAGGAACAGGAACCGTTATATTCTACCCGCTATTCTTCCGATTCTTCCTCCGTTAGCCAAAATACATTGTGTATGTGTTTTCCCTTATTTTTTTTCGGGGAGGGGGGGGCGTCCACGTTTTACGTCGTGTTGAGCACACGTAGCGACGCCGTAAACAAGGACGACGCTCCATTTCAGCGTACAGTCGACGGCGAAGGGGTAAGTCAGTAAACAAGGGAGTATAAATACATCTCATAGCTAGGCCTACGGCCGGTGCCGCTTGGAGCGCATTCTCATACATGGAAGGTGCGGGCAGGACACGCAAGCTCGAGACAGAAACTAAAACTGTAATGTTTGCGGGGGATGCGAGAATATAAAACTCTCACCTCTTGGGAGAGGAGTGAGCGTACCACGAGTATCAGTATGGCAGGTGGCTGATTCACCCCGCCCCGCCCGTACTTCCGAAGCTATAGACCGCACCGCATGCACGCGTGCAGGCGCGTTGCCTTCTCTCTCGGGGGCCGTAAGAGGCCATGGCACGGCCAAGCCCACCGTGAGGTACAGTAGAACTACGAATCTGGACGGGGAGGATCATCCACCTGATCCATGTCTGCTGACTGCAGACTACCGCCACAGGCCTTGGCAGGGACACTTGTGCCCGCCCTTTTCGTTTAACAATCATTAAAGAATTGCTGGGGAGGGATGAGTAGTATAATGGCCCGATTTCCACGGGGCTTGTAGCCGTGGTTCCAGACCGTGCCCCGGTAGAGCTGGTCTTCGAGCTCACGTGCTCATCGCCATGGCGAGCGAATGGAGCGATGCTTTATTCCCTGGTCTGGTCAGAGACTGCAAGTCCCGAAATAGACCTAATACACAAACATTGGTCCAACGGCTAAATGGGAGGGAGCGCAGAGCTTGTCTAATTCAAAGCAATTCAGCAGGGAGGGTGGGGTGGGCCCGCCACGAGGACAGCTCAGCAGGTGGAGCAGGGGGCCAAATGAGCCCCGGCGGCGAGGCAGGCGCGGGCCGGTCAAGGGTGAGCGCAGGACACAGGAATTGGAAAATTGGGCCGCAATCATCCGAAATTATCCGCCAAGTGCGACTCCGCCTCGCATTGGTAGTACTGCGGGCGGGAGTGGGGGACGCGCGCTCCTTGCACGCCGGGCCAATCTTCTTCACAACAAAGTCAAAGTCACCCCTCAGGGATGTGCGCCGCACCGCGCCGCGCCGCGGCCGCGGCGGCACTACGGCGGGGGCCGCCGCCGGCCGGCGGGAGCGCACTACTGGCGGTTTGTTATTGTGGCGAACCTTATCGCGGGACGGATTTATAAACGATCAAACACCTCCCCCCCTCTGTTATCTGCATCCACCACGCATCGCTAAACGTGACTGCAATCTCGCGACCGTGAGCAGCGCTGCATGGCTGGCAGGGGACGAATATCTGCAGCACATGACCCGACAATTGGGCATCCGAGCAAGCGGAATCATTTCGCGATGAGGCTCCCGCTGATGAGCGATCGATTTATGTAGGCTGCTGCTGCGACAGTGGTTGTCGAGGCGTCCTCCTGGAGCTGCGCGGACAGGCTGCCGGCATGTCACCTACCAGCATCCTGCACGGGACGCGCTCGCCTCATCATCCTACCAGCATCCTACCTCCTGCTTGTCGCGTTAGGGAAGCGCTCTCTCCTCCTAATCTCCATCTCTCTTCGTAACAATCGTAACTCGGCCGGCTCCCGCCATGCTCCGACCGTGTAGTACTTATATTTTCTTATAGGGGGGTTCTTTAATGCGCCGCAAGTGACGAGAGTCATGGCTGACCCTCTGTCTGGGCGTGTAAATAGAGGCAGTCTTTAGGGGACTGTCTAAAAGCTTAATTTCTCTCGGATCGGCAGCGGGCGCGGTGTGTCGGGGTCGCTGTGACGCAGTGTGTGTGAGTATCTCCTATTTGCCACCCCGCAGGGTGACCTGTACGCAGCAGGGCCCAGGCCCAGGGGCGGGACGAGCGGTGCTGGGCGGCGGGCAAGGGTGGGGCGGGGAGCGCGCCTCTCAGCCCGCGGGGCGTCGCAGGCGGGCGGGCTGTGCTGCGCCGTGCCCCCGCCAGTGGCC